TAACTTCTGTGTTTATCTAACACATTAGGCAGCGAGGAATTTCAGACGCCTACAGTCGTGCATAGCGACATGTCCCATACGATAAATAAGCTACAACAAGAGATACCATTGAATGTGAAGTCGCCACAAGGACTTACACTGCTAAAACGCATGGTGCAGAAAATGTATTACACTGCTAGAACGCATGGTGCAGAAAATGTATGAATTTCGGGAAATTTTATTTTGGGAATCAGTGTAAAAAATTTTTACAGATATTAAAATCTGTAAATTAGAATATCTGATTCTATATTCTTTCTACATTAAAGGAGCGTTCATTTCGTTCATCATAAAAAATGTAGAAATCACACCATTTTTAGAAACATGCTTACAATTTCATTGCTCTAGAAAGGCGGGCATTTAAATAAACTCCGTCCAGCTGCCCCTACCGGAAATTAAATGGCCTGTCCGATAAAGGTGAAATAAATAAGAAAGTCAGATGTTAAAAAAATTAAATAAGTGTTGCTATTTGTAAAGTAGTTGTAGCTTGCAGAAATAAGCATGAACATATCTTTGCAGGGTCAGATCCTGGCCAACTTGAAAGCAATGGATTCAGACTTCTTTGCCCAGAAATACATGGGACGGAATACAAAAGTTGGAGTTCCTGACCTTAACAAGTTCAACAGCTGGGGAGGTTCCCTCAGTATAGGACATCCATTTGCTGCAACAGGTAGTGCTCATATCTTTTGACTATTTAATTAAATTGTTTTTAGTTATTTACTTCGGTAGCTTTCTCATTAAAGTGCCGGCTTCAGGCTGGATAACGGGTATACTGCTGAGAAGAAAGCAGTCTTCTGGGATTTGGCACCATGTATATGTGGTGTTAACCGACGTTTCGGAGGAACGTATCGCCTCCATCTTCAGGGTAGAAGAAAAAATATAAGAAATCTACAAGCGAAGAGACCTTGAGAACTGGTAAAAGCACACAGTCTGCTTTTACCGGTTCTCACGGTCTCTTTGCTTGCAGATTTCTTATATTTTTTCTTCTACCCTGAAGTGGAGGCAATACGTTCCTCCGAAAGGTCAGTTAACACCACATATACACGGTGCCAAATCCCAGAAGACTGCTTTCTTCATAGTCACCGCCGTGAAAGCCTCAAATCTTACAGGGTATACTGCTGCTATACAGTGTAACTAGAATAAGACATAAGTGTACCATTCCCTTGTTTGTGAACCAAGTTTAATGTTTCATACACTAAATTAAAGGTGGAGAGAATCAATTTGTTACCTACTGACAATACAGTGCCTCTCTCTATACTTTTTTTTATTGCTGGTCGGATGGGACTAAGTCCCTTGTACTGTGGCCACCTCTGGTCTATTGTACCAGCCCCAGATGATAGGTGATGGTGATTGTGGAGCGGTTGGTGGAATGAAGATGGGCAGGGGAAACCGAAGTCCTCGGAGAAAACCTGTCCCAGCGCCATGTCCACCACAAATCGCACTTGACCAGACCCAGGATCGAACCCAGGCTGCCGCATTGGGAAGCCAGCGACTAACCGCTTGAGCTATGGTGCAGCCCTCTCTCTATATTTACTAGTACATTACTAGTGGAGAGGAAAAAGAAACGGAAAGTAGAATGGTCTTCCTATCTTTGCTGTCACGTCTGACACCTTGCGACATTTTTTCTTGCAAGAAGAATGCAACCCTAGTCACAAGGGAAAAACAGTGATGATGATGATCTGACAGTAGATACCAAACATTACAAAATTTGGGATGTGTTTTTAGACCTGACCACAGGGTTGCACATGAGGATAGATGGAAAAGTATGGCAAGAAGTAGCAGAGCAGTGGCTGAAGCTGCAGTGTGGGAGTGACAGGGTGACACACTAAGACTTTGACTAACCCGTACACCCCTTACAGTCCTCACATCACATGATTGAATACACTGTGCGTTCTGGTTTATATGGTCAGGTCTGAAAACACACACGGAACTTCTGTTAACAATGCTGCTACAGCATAGTAAATTACATACTTTTCAAATGCATTAACATCTGAAATTTGAGGCTCATGGCAGTGAGTAAACACTACACTACACCAGTACTACACCAGTAAAAACAAGAACACATCACCAAGAGGGATAGACGACAATATCCACTACCAAGGAAGATAAAACACGATCCATATTGGTTCACGAACAGATTTCTTAACTTAAAATTAAGTTTTTATACACATTCATAACATTTTAACATAAAGGAAGGCTGCTGTGGTGAAACAAATTGAAATTTATGTATAGTGCAGAGGAAAATTACATTTTTAAAATATCCTTTATGGAAGTGATTGCAACTACATCATTTCTAAGTAATATACTTCAAGAATGTTCTTATTATAACAGTTTACGTCAAACATCTGTTTCGACAATGAAAATTAACACCTACATATAGTGAGCATCATAAATGTTTTAAGTGTACATAGTATTATAAAACCATTTACGTATTGATGGGTTTCTGATCGTAGTGATATACCTCCGATGATGATTCATTAAGAATCGAAACATGTTAGGTAACTAAGTGCTGAAGGCATTATATGTCACATTGGACTGAAATAAACTTAATTGTAAATTTGTAATATAGTTTTATAGTTGCTGTTTTTTTTTTTCAGGATGTAATTTTTTACCTGTCCTCTTGCCCAGGTATTACTAACAACCCTTCTTTCTGTAAATTCCATGCCATATGTACCAAGTATTAACGCCTTTATAACTCATCCAATAATTAGATGATGGAATGATAAAGCCAAAGATACCAACTTTGCAGGTGTACGTCTCACAGCACATGCAGCCAACCGACTGATACGAGAAGATGGCAGGTTTGCTGTGATCGCTGCTTGTGCAGCAGGTGGTCAGGTACAAACAAATCTTTCTGCTGTGCATGTGATGGTATCTTCTTGTAAAGTTCTTTGCTGTTTAGAAAACCTGTTCTTCCATATCTGAATACACCACCCTGTGAGGGATGTAAATTTCTGACACTCATTGAGTTTAATGATTCTGTCTCAAAATCTTTACAAGTGACGATATTCATGCAGAACTGGTGTAAGTTTGCGATCCTGTTGTTTTCTCCTTTCAGTGTTTGCTGCACAGACACTGTATTTTCTATGCTTCATATTTAATGTCCCGTGTTAAACAACTATTAAATTCATCCAGCACAGACATTCCTTGTTCTAGGCAGCGGTCAGAGGATAAATTGGATTCCTGATAGCATTAAAAGTCAAAATGGTTACAGTTTTATAACTCTTGAGGATTCATATTCATTCTGTACAAATATAATACCCAGTCCCTTTTGACTTCAGACACCGACACTCAAGGCAGAAGTAATTATCAGACCATTTTTGACGTTTGAGGCCAAAAAATGAACATTCAAAATAAGACTGAGGAAAGTTATTCACAATTCAATCTAAGAAATTAAAAAATTACACATGCTTCGTTATTTTATCAAAACAAATAAATGCACTACAATGAGGGCAAGGTATTCAGATGTTCTCCTTCATATGTTTTCCGTCACCTGTAAGAAATTAAGCTGTGCATTGAGGATTGTTGAGTTTCTGGACTTTGTGTTCATCGTCTGGTATTCTAATACTAGAGAACACAGTGTTTCGAAAACTCGATCTGTTTCTGTCCCCAGGTGAGAGGGAGGCACCTACTCTTTTGTGTGTCTTAAAAGAACAGCTGACCTCAGTCACTGTAAAACTCATGTCGGTATAACTACAGCTGTATTAATTCCTGAGACCAGGCCGGTATGGACCCAATATATACCCTTCCTTTAGGAAATTAGAAGGCCTAAAAATTTAGGTAGCTAAAACTCAATTATATAACAAGATGCAAATCTTAGGGTATTATCCCCAAAGGTTTCTCTCTAAAAACCCCCATTAATAGTTAACATTCTTCCAAAACTGTCAAGCATGCCACTATGGCACTCCTCAGGGACAGGATACATTTTCATTGGCACAACAAGGCATCCCAACTCCAGAAAATCCAGCAGCATATCTTTACAGCTGTGGAAAGTTCATTCAGAGACATCTGCAATATCAGATCAGAAATAGACTGTAATGATGACACATTGACAGAACGGTCTGTCTTGAAGGTCGAAGCCGCCATGGAACTGCTGGAATTTTCTTTGAGAACCACATGTTATCAGGTGGACAATAAGTTCTTCCAACAGAAAGATGGAATGACTATGGGGAGCTCTTTTATCACCCATCATTTGGAACATCTGTAGGAAGCATTTTGAGAAACTTGCTCTTGACTTGGCATAACAAACCAGTACTGTGGCTCCTGTATGTGGTCTGGCCTCATGGCCCATGGTGGTTACAGAATCTCTTTAGCCATCTCAGTAGTTTAAGGTCTTCCATCCTGTTCACTATGGAAATAGAGTGAAACAGTGCTGTTCCTTTTCTGGATGTTCTGGTCATCAGGAAAGGGACAGCACTGGCCACCAAAGTTTACAGAAAATGCCCCCATACTGGCCGATATCTCAGCTTCAAATCTAAGCATCCAGCACATGTGAAAAGAGGTTTAATTCAAAGTCTTTACAATAGAGCTTCCACAATATATGCCAAGAACAACAAGTTCTTTTTAATGAAATTAGTAGCCTGAGGTGTGATCTTCAGCTCAACAGTTATCCCCAAGGTTTCATTGACTTAGTTATTAAATCCAAGGTTAGCAGTCATCTGAATAAAGAGGAAAAAGCCTCTGGACTTTGTATATCCCATATGTGAAGGGCGTTTCAGAGGAGTTCAAACGTATAAGGAATCAATGCACGTTGGGATGATCTTCAAAAGTAAACACTCTTAGGAGTTCACTCATGAAAATCAGGATGGAAAGAGATCCACAACAGATGGCACAGTGCTTCTCTAGCATTCCCTGTGAATGTGGTAGAAGTTTCATTGGCGAAACAGATAGACCTCTAGTAATGCGGCTCCATGAACATAGGCATGATTTCAAAGAGGGTTTTCTAAAAAATCAGAATTAGCCCAACATGTCTTTGAAGAGGGTAATAGGGTAGGCTGGGATGAAGCTAGGATATTGGAAACTGAAAGTAACAGCAGATACAGGAAATAAAGGAATTGGCCCTTATGGCATACTTAACCAGGCCTGTCAGCAGTGAGGTTACCAACTCACAGATTAGGTCAATATGATATGACAGATTCTTAATGGGTTTATATAAGGTTTAAGTCCTGAATGTTCAGTTTTTACTCCACAGATTGTGGTAGTGGTAGGCACAAAATGGTTTCACCAAATTCTCCATTTAGTCCTAATCACTGGTTTTCATCGACTTGGTTTGTGACTAGGCTTGTTGCATAAAATTTGAACCTCTTTCTTTCCTAGTTTCAGGTCTGTGCATGCTTTATGACAATTTTTATTGCACATTTTGCTGTTGAGCCCCTTCGACAACACCTGGTTTCAGGTATTTATACTAGCTATAGTTATGCTGTCATGGGTTGTCCAGTGGTTGAGGTTAGCTCTTTCTAAAGAACCCAACAGAGTAGGTGTCTCCCACCTCACCTGAGGATACAAACAGATCCAGTTTCGGATATGTTGTGTTCTCCGGTTTTTAGAATACTGAGTGATGGACAAAGTCCAAAACCCTAGCAATTCTGTGTGTTATGCACCATTCTCAGAACCTTTAGAATCTAAGCTATGCATGTTTCACTTCTAACACTATTATGCATACTGTCTATTTTGTGGTTACTGCTGGATGGATGGATGAATAGATGGATGTCCTAGGAAAGTCATTCTGTACAACATCACCATCTCATCTCATCTGCGGCGCGCAACCCAGCCCTGCCTAACTAATGTAACCAATCCCGTTGCAGAATGGCTGTAGACAGTATGCTAGAACAATACTTAGAGACGACAGGGCCTGCAGTCCTGAAGTAAAGACTGTATGGTAGTATAAGTCTCTGACAGTCTTCCTGTTGAGGCAGTTGGTAGTTCTGTGGGGAGTGGATAATATGTCATAATGAGTAGGTGCAGTATGGTGAGAATTTGGTATTCAGATGGTATGCTTCACATGTTTGCCATCACCTGTAAGAAATTAAGCAATGCATGTTGCCCTTGTACATTATTATGCATGGTTACTGGTGGAAGGATCGATATATGTCCTGGGAAATTCAGTCAGTTCAGTATCACCATCTCGCCTAATCTTATCTGCAGCATGCCACCCAGCCCTGCCTTCCTGATGTAACCAGTCCTGTTGCAGAATGACTAAAGGCAGTATGCTAGAACAGTGTTAAGAGATGATGGGGCCTGCATTCCTGAAGTGAAGGGTGTATGGTAATGTGGGTCTTGTAACAGTCTTGATAGTGAGAATATGGTATTCAGTTGGCCTGTTTCACACATTCTCCATCACCTACAAGAAATTTCCTTCCAACATTATGCATACTGTCTATTCTGTGGTTACCGACGGATGGATGGATGGATGTCCTAGGAATGCCATTCTGTTCAACAGTATCATTCATCTCATCTGCGCCGCACAACCCTACCTAATGTAACTAGTTTTGTTGCTGAATGGCTGTAGACAGTATGCTAGAACAATACTGAGAGACAACAGGGCCTGCAGTCATGAAGTAAAGGCTGTATGGTAGTATAAGTCTCTAACAGTCTTTTTATTAAGCCATTTGATAATTGTGTGGCGAGTGGTTATTGTATCAAAACAAGGAGGTGCACTACAAAGAGAATATGGTATTCAGATGGTCTGCTTCACAAGTTTTCCATCACCTGTAAAATTAGAATTCAGAAGTGGTAACTTCCATTGGGAACAAGAACATGGAGCAGGTTAGTGCAGTTGGTATAGCGACTGGGTATGGGCTGGATTGACGGGTCAGAATTTGAACCCTGATAGGGTAAAGAGTCTTCTCCACATCATCCAGACCAGTTCTGGGGCCTACTCAGCCTCATTTCCAGTGGATACTGAGGACTTTTTCCCCAGGGGTAAAGCGGCTGAGGCATGGAGCTGATCACTCACCTCCAACTAGTGCCAAGGTCAAGGTAACGTGGATCTGTACATCCACACATACGTGTCTTTATGGCATAGTGCTTAATTAGTTAAGCCCAGGGACTTTACCTTTTTATGGGACTTACATCTCATACTTAAGAGTGGTACATATGACTTGTCCACATTCATCTTGGCTACTTAATATGTGTGTACCAAAATATTGTTTCACTTGAGCGTCTATCTTCATTGTAACCTACATAGGTAAGGTTACAAATGAATATAGAACTTAAACATATAAGAGTACTGATTTAAAAAATGCTTTTATTTCTCAACATAATGTCCCTGTACATTGAGGCACTTGTCCCACTGTTTCACAAGCCCCGTAAAACCAGCAGCGTAAAATTCTTTGGGATGCTGTTGGAACCAGGCGGTGACTTCCCTTTCTACAGTTTCATCATTGGGAAAATGTTCAGCCGAAAGATGTTGTTTAAGAGGGCCAAACAAATGGAAGTCGCATGACAGGTTAGGTTTTCACAAAGTCTGTGCATGATGGGTGCCGCGCATGCTGACCTCACAACACAAAATGCAAAGAATGGGTCTGGCATTACAGCATCTCAATCACTATCACGATGAAGGACACAATGTGTTAGCCTGAATTGTCACAGGTGATGAGTCTTGCTGCAAGCGACTTCCATTTGTTCAGCCCTCTTAAACATCATCTTTCGGCTGAACATTTTCCCGATGATGAAGCTGTAGAAAGGGAAGTCACTGCCTGGTTCCGACAGCAGCCCAAATAACTTTATGTTGCTGGTTTTCGGGGGCTTGTGAAATGATGGGACAAGTGCCTCATTGTACAGGGAGATTATGTTGAGAAATAAAAGCATTTTTCAAATCAGTACTCTTAGTTGTTTAAGTTCTATATCCATTTGTAACTTACTTATTGACTTACCCTTGTACCATTTACCATAACTTTCTCTTAAGAATGTGAAACTGTTCATAGGAAAAGTAATTTTCTGTCTGCATTTCTCAACTTGGTCATCATATTGAGTGTGGTGTAAGTAGTTTTATATTGGAAATAAGACCTTGCTGTATTAGGCACAGTTATGATAGATAGACTTGAAAGGATTCTGACGATGGTTTATACTGTACTTCTTTTGGCTTATTTTGGACTTCACCCATCGTCTGGTATGTAAAAGACAAAAAACCACGATGTTTCGGAGACTGAATCTGTCTCTGTCTTCAGGTGGATATGGAAGGATAAACCTATTCAGTTGGGCCCCTTAGAAAGAGCTAGTCTCAATTGAGACTCCGAAACGTCGTGGTTTTTTGTCTTTTACATACCAGACGATGGGTGAAGTCCAAAATAAGCCAAAAGAAGTACAGTTATGATACTTTAACACAGAGAACCATGGCACATCAGTATGTTCTTATGCAGTTCCTGTGATTTCTTTAACCTTAATCAGCAATGTATCTTCCTGGTTGACCTCTTCTATATATGAGGGAGAGTCAGTAAATAAGTCAGAAATTGATATAAAATGTAAAACATGTGATCTTCAAACCTGGAAAAAAAACGTTTATTTCTTGACATATCCTCTAGCAACACTGATACACTTGTCCCATCACTTTAGCAGTGCACTGAAACCCGCAGCATATAAGTCTTTTGACTGTTGTCTCAACCACTTCTGCACCTCCATTTCAGCCTCTTCATCATCAGCGAAACGTTTCCAACATGATTGTTTTTTAGCAGACCAAACAAATTGAAGTCACTAGGGGCCAACTCCGGGATCTAAGGCAGATGTTCAAGAAGTTCTCACTGTAATTCTTAATTTTCTCCTGGGTTCCTTAGGCTGTATGGGGTCTAGTATTGTCATGATGACAGGCCAGTTGGCCTGGACGTTTTCTGCTAATTGCATCCCAAAGCTTCAACAGAACTTCACAATACGATGCAGAATTCACATTTTCACCACACTTCTGGAAATGGTCTAACAGTACTCCCTTACAATTGCAAAACAGTAAGCATAACCTTCCAAGATGATGGCGTAAACTTTCTGGTTGAAGGTAAAGTGAGATGTTTCTATTGCATTGAAGCATACTTCAGTTTAGGTTGGTGTGATGCACCCATGATTCGTCCCCAGTAACAGTCCTGTTAAGAATATCTTCACCTTCTGCATACCATAAGAGATGTTGCAAGGACAGACCCATTCATTTAATTTTTTCTCGATCCTTCAGTTCTCTGGGCACCCACCATTCATGCACTTTCTGAAACTTGAAATGATTATGCATTATGTTATATGCTATATGGGAATGCCCAAGTACATTTGCTGCACTGTCTTATTGTTAATCTCCTCAACTCTTCCACCCGTTGCACAGTTGCTTCTGTTGCAANTGATGGCGTAAACTTTCTGGTTGAAGGTAAAGTGAGATGTTTCTATTGCATTGAAGCATACTTCAGTTTAGGTTGGTGTGATGCACCCATGATTCGTCCCCAGTAACAGTCCTGTTAAGAATATCTTCACCTTCTGCATACCATAAGAGATGTTGCAAGGACAGACCCATTCATTTAATTTTTTCTCGATCCTTCAGTTCTCTGGGCACCCACCATTCATGCACTTTCTGAAACTTGAAATGATCATGCATTATGTTATATGCTATCCCATGGGAATGCCCAAGTGCATTTGCTGCACTGTCTTATTGTTATGCTCCTGTCAGCCCAAATCAACTCTTCCACCCGTTGCACAGTTGCCTCTGTTGCAGTCTCAGCAGGGCAGCCTAGTCAGGCATAATCTAAAACTTCTAAACGTCCTTGAGAGAATTTCTCAACCAAGTTATGAACTGCTCTGTGTGACAAACACTTCCCATCACAAACAGGAAACATATCTTCATGAATAACCTTTGCATTGAGTCCTTTTACCCCCAAAAGACACAAGAGAACACTGCTCTTTGCTGGTACACTCCCCGAGCACCTTTGCTATTTTGAGTACTGAAACCAGCCTCTGAACATGTGTGTGCACGTGTGCTATGTTGACTGCCATGAAGCTGGGCTGTGATGCTACCTAGTGATACACATAGAAAACCTATTACGTCCATTACGTCTGTTTTACTTCCAGTGGTGATCTATTTACTTACTCTCCTTCATACCATAGGCTCAGCAGTTCCAGTCTTTCATGTCTATATGGCTTCTGAGGACAGGAATTAAGAATTAGATTGATGCCAAGCAAAGATAGAGGACTGTAAAAGTGTATGCCTGTGTTCAAGTAAATTACAAAGTTGTTGAATATTGTGATTATGTTATACATGGATATAGCTGTGATGGTGGTGATTTAGTAGCTAATGGTGACAGTAGTTTTCACGGGAATGTCACAGTAGCAAACCATGTGGTGAACTGATTGCCATGGAAAGACAGTTTGT